CTGTTTTCTTCTGTTTTGTGGTGCCATCTGTGCGAGCCATACTATACTAGAGCATGCTTCTCTCTGTCATACTGTACTGTTTTATAATGTACTGTAATGTATTGTACTACTCTGCCATACTGGCATGTCTTGGGCTGTGGTACTGTTCATTATTAAACAAAAGAATGCAGAATGGCAGAATAAAGTGTAGAGCAACACCACAATATTTTAAATATAAATGGCACCACAATATAGTATAATACAGCACCACACAGTAGTGTCAGAGTGAGTACACCAGTGCACCAATCAGTACTGCAGTATGTTGGCAGAACACAATATTGAAAGTATGCAACTAACCAGTCAATATAGACTTATAGGATGCACTACACATTACAGTAAGGCACTGCACAGTGCAGTTTTTACAAAAGTAGCTGGTAGCACACTATTATAGAACAGTATGATTGCAACAATATAAAAGCCAGATAGTAAACATGAAAGTATAATTGTATAAAAAAGCTTACAGTGGGCAGTCAATAGGGCCCATTATCAAAATATCGTATTATATCAAGAGTACTTACTTCCAGAGAGATTAAAATTGTGCCTCTCGCAGTGTGATTTTTTGTCCAACTTGCTGCATATTTCGCCGTACACGGACATATCACAAAATATATGAAATCTACAAATCGTTTAGTTGTTTACATTTGCCAAGGAGACGCAAAGTGCCGGGGAATATTTCCCTGGTAGTTAGTTAGGAATCTGTCCAAATAGCATCCAGTAATCAACAAGAGTTCAATTTTCCGACCGGGATAATTATTTTCCCGTTCTTTTCTTCAATTTTTTGTTGAGATTTTGTACTTTAGGTTTCAGCACAAAATGTTCTTGATTAAATGTGGATTTTTTACAGAAAAATGCTAGAAGAGTACCGGTGTTCTGGTTTAGAATATATATTTGAAGGTAAGGTTGTGTCTTATGGACTTTTATGTTATATTTTTTGTATATTGCATTCAATTACAAACAAGCCTGTGGCGGTTTCTCGTTTAAACAGGCTGAACACACGGCGACTGTCCAGGCTGTCAATATTTAAAATCCTTCTAGTGCAGATTGGAATAGTATTTCTTTCTTTTAAGACTGAAATGGACCTTCAGCAACTTCTACATGATGTGCCAGGCGAGTTTTTTCCAGAAGGAAGGCAGCCTTTCTTGAGAAAGACGGTTCAAATACCAAGAGTCCAAGTATTATTCAAAATAGCAGTTTACCCCACTGTCAAATAAACCAGGACGAAATCTGCCCTGTTTTTCATAAAAATTAGCTTCTGTTTGTGTATAAAATTTATAAAATGCAATACATTTAATTATAGTCAAAAGAGGACAACCTTTGAAACGTGATGAAGGTTTTATATTTTAGAATCTGATATAAGTTTTTTATATTATTCAGTAGAAGAAGAATTGGTCATAGCTTTCTTTGCAGCACCAGTGATGGCTCGAGCTTCAAATAATTAAGGTGAAAAACTATTATTTTTATTCACTGTAGAGTATAAAGCCATGGTATCTTATGGGCCCTGGATATGTATTCCCTTGCAAATTTTTCCTTTTTCCCCCACAAAGATTTCACCATGTTTCCTTGTTTTCCCAACTTTATGGTCCCTTGTTTTTTTATCATTTTTTTTCTTTGAATTCTGATTGCAAAATATGCATTGTTCTCTGGTTTCCTAAAACCAGCCCTGGGAGATCCTCAGTATAGTCTCACAATTATTTGGTGTTAAGAATTTTAGGACCCAAAGGCAACTGACAATGGCTTCCTCTTCATATTTCATTTCAGAACCATGAAAAACTAATTTGATATAAATATTATAATATGAAATAAGTTCCTCTATGAACATTGCCAGGTTTTTGCAGCTATAAATACTCCAGTCACAACTTAGACAACGAATAGTAAAATGTGTCTTAGACGTAGTACAAGCTTCACATTTGCCATGTGGTAAATGCTTATTATTTCATATTGTAGGTTGATACTAGCATGCGAAGACACTAGGAAAAGAATCATAGCCTGGATATGGATTATATGGTCATGATGATGCCTATAACTGCCCATTTGAAACCGATTGTCCTATATCAAGATCTTGAGTTGGTTTGATGTCGATAAGTGTCAACTATGTAATGCTGTATAAATAAATTCATCAAAATAGGATCACCATCGAAAAAGGGTCACCATCAACAGATTCTGGGCGAATGTAATGACAGGCACTTTATTTATTTGCTGCCTACATGCAACATCATTTCTTTAGAAAGGGGGTCTACTGTATATTGATTAATTTAATACAGTCTTTATTTTTTCCCATGCCAAAGCTGCCTCTCTTTGACAAGTAAAATTTGTGGTGTGAGGCAATCAAGTATTATTGTCACACAGGTAGTAATAAACAGAGCACCTTGCCTGTAATGGGCTAACAAACAACATAATTCCTACTTTTCAATTTCAAAAATCCAGGGCAAATTACAATCCATGCACAAGGCTATAATGCATATGGCTTAATGTGATCTACAGTACTTTGTCAGTTTACTGTGTCTATATACAAGAAAATTTACTTGTCAAGGGAGAAATGTTGGGCATTAATGAGTTAGTTTCAGTAGTAATTCACTGAGATGAAATTATTAATTCAATTGCATGCAAGATTAGGAAAGATCTTGCTTCGTCTGTTACTATAATCAGGATGATACCATATGTAACTAAAGGTACTGTACTGTACATTTACTAAAGTTCTAACATTGTAATAGTACTTGTTGTCTTTCACAAATGTATGTGGACATTTAAATTTGACAGTAACTTAATGTGTCAATGATGCATGGTTTGAAATCAAGTTGTAGAACTTTATTTCTTGAAATACATGGCTAGTTGGTATAAAATATATTTCACAGAAAACTTTCTCGCGTACGTTTTGTATTAGATGAAGCAGTTGACTTAGTGTAATTAGACTGATTGCTAGGTTTCTCGATACTTCCCCGTTTTACGAAGTAATTGCATTACGTCGTTAGAAAGCGTTCCGCGTAAACTAACGCTCTTGACAGATTTTACATCGTTTTTTAATTATTTCTACGCAATTTTTAATGTTATGAAAACTGAGTGATGTTTTTTCATGGTTTTGGTTTTCATAACATTAAAAATGTGTAAAATAATTAAAAAGATGAGGAAAAGTCTTCAAGAGTGCCGGTTTAACTCCTGAAATGGAGTTAAAATGATTTAACTCCTGAATAGGGGTTAGATTTTAACTCCAATATGAGAGTTAGATTAACCCCAAAAGTGGAGTTACATTTTAACCCCAGAAATGGAGTTATTTCTAACCCCAAAAAACGAATTATTTTGAACCTTTTTTGTTAACCCCCTTTTCCGGAGTTATTTTAACTCCCTGAAAATAACAGTGTATTAAGAGGCTGTCTCCCTAAAAACCGACCACTCATATTTTACGTAAAAAGTAAACCCACCTAAACATTTATGTCCAGGAAGGTTTGGGCTTTTAATTACCTGAATCGGTTTTATTTTTCTCAAATATTTTATTTTTATCCAGATATAGCGATCAATAGTCCCATGGATCTCGGAAGCAAAATGGCGGCCGTCTAAACACGACATTTCCTACTAAATTCGGTTGCCGCATACGCGGAACTCTGACTTCCAATCTCAATTCCGTTTGGATATTTTTTAACAACAAGTGATTGAAATTTATCGTTAATACTAACATCCTTGATTTCATGTATTATTTATTCAAAACTTTGCACAACGTAACCACGTCTGATCCGCCTTGTCTGTACGGCCAATACACCACGTCGAGTAGAATTTGATATTCCCGAATCTGGATTGAAATTTCCACAATTAACTACCATAGTTGTGTTATATAATAATTAGTTGAAGAATATAATATGTTATTTCGTGTGGATCTGTTTGCGTTTCTTCAACATAATGCTGTCAATATCCATCAAATTCGGCTTAATTCGCAAACGGAAATAATTGACACTGCCAACTGTTCAAGTACTGTTGGCCAGAATAATTCGCTAAATACTTACGAAAGCACAAGTATTGTATTTTAGAAAAGCAATGTTAAATAGTTTCAAAACTAAAAACTACTTGAAACTTCTGGGAAATCATAAATATAGAAAATATCTTGATTCTAGCGCATTGCCAACAACAAAAGACGACAGGTCACTCACAGAGTTGACCATTACGTTTAATGTTTTACGTGTTGTACCTTGCAAAAAAATGTGAACTGTTATATTGAGGCTTTATATGATCATATCAATTCTGGTTTAAAAACCTTATTTCCACAGCAACCTTACAAATCTTGATTTTCTTTCTGCAAGTTTAATAATTGGTAAGACTCAAATGAGTCAACAATAATAATATCGTAATTTCTTTCCGTCTGCGCGTTTATTTTGTTCTAAAAATATTTCATTATGCTGTCAAGCCTCAAGAATATAAGGTGTAAGACTTGTTAGTACGACAACCGAGAGTGGTGTAATCAAGTTACCACGTTTCTCCCAGCCCTACACACAACCCGAAACGCGCACGCGCACACTTTGCTTCATTCTATATTCTGGCGCCAGTTGTCATCAAAAGCCGGTTGTTCTAACCCTGGGTCCAAATAGAACTTTCCAACAGCTTGTTTATAAAATTAAATAGGTTTTCCAGAAATCTTTTTTGGATCAGTAGATGTTTTTTTTTAAACTTTTGAAATGAACGGTCTTACAGAAATACCCTCAAAACAGCGGGTTAAAACTTAACCCATGCTGGGTCAGTGCTAATCGAGCTTTGAACAACCGGCCCATGGACTATGTTTGTTGCAATTTTATTATATTACCATTTATACAATCGACTTCAACGTACAGTATTATAGAACATAAATATGAAAATCAGGAGGATGAGCAGTCACATCACATTCTCTTACTTATTCATCGCTTATATGCATTAAACACATATCGCTCAATAGACGAATGAAAGTTTAGTTGATGTTAACTGAAATTCAAACAGTTCCCAACCCGACACTTAGAAGGGTCGGGAGAAAATATTTCACCCTCCCTGCTAATGAAAAATGTACAGTAAATTTTTGCACGGAAGAAATTTTACTTAATTGGAATGACCTACGCGGCAATCCTGTGCAAGGGCAATATACCAATTTTATTAGGATTCAATTTGGAAAGTTCTTACATGATCCAACAGGAACATGGACTTGGTATAACTGTTGTATGTTCTTGCACATGTCTACTCCAATCGTATCGCGCGTTTTTAGTGCCGTTCGCTTGCCATTGTGTTTAGGTTAGTGACAGGATAGGCGAGATGGTCTCCACTGCTTTCCAAGAGTGAGTCGGTGCTTTGTATAGATTCACATTGCATCTATTTGTCCCTGGCGAACATTGACTATTCCTGCCCTTAAAAGGATTAACTCTACTTCTGTTAGTCTTTCAGAAGAAAGATGGTTAGTTCAAAGGTGTCGAAGGTGATGTTTTATGTCACTTTGACATTCTGTCAGACGAATTATTTCCTCGCTGCAGCAAGAGTATTCTTCTTTTCCTCCGATAAAACAACATGGCGAAGACATCGTTGAATCGATAATATTAATGGGACAGAACTATACGTTTGCAATAATATAATATTAGAAAAAGCATCGATGTAAGAGCTAGAAGCGCCCAGTGACGAAAATTAATGATGACTCTTATGTATGTTGATTTCAATTATGCATACCGGAAGTATAGTACCGTGATGCGGGAAAAATATATGGGAAAGTATTTAAATAATAAGATTTTTGATAATAGTAGAAATATATAAAGCAGGAATATTCCTGGTCACTACGGAATATTCCCGGTTTTTACTAAACTTTCATCATCACACATTTGTTTACCAAACATGTAAGGTACAACGCGTAAAACATTAAACGTAATGGTCAACTGTGTACGTGACCTGTCGTCTTTTGTTGTTGGCAATGCGCTAGAATCAAGATATTTTCTATGTTTATGATTTCCCAGAAGTTTCAAGTGGTTTTTAGTTTTGAAACTATTTAACATTGCTTTTTTAAAACACAATACTTGTGCTTTCGTAAGTATTTAGCGAATTATTCTGGCCAACAGTACTTGAACAGTTGGCAGTGCCAATTATTTCCGTTTGAGAATTAAGCCGAATTTGATGGATATTGACAGCATTCTGTTGAAAAAACGCAAACAGATCCACACGAAATAACATATTATATTCTTCAACTAATTATTATATAACACAACTGTGGTAGTTAGTTGTGGAAATTTCAATCCAGATTCGGGAATATCAAATTCTACTCGACGTGGTGTGTTGGCCGTACAGACAAGGCGGATCAGACGTGGTTACGTTGTGCAAAGTCTTGAATAAATAACACATGAAATCAAGGATGTTAGTATTAACGATAAATTTCAACCACTTGTTGTTAAAAAATATCCAAACGGAATTGAGATTGGAAGTCAGAGTTCCGCGTATGCGGCAACCGAATTTAGTAGAAAATGTCGTGTTTAGACGGCCGCTATTTTGCTTCCGAGATCCCTGGGACTATTGATCGGTATATCTGGATACAAATAAAATATTCGAGAAAAGTAAAACCGATTCAGGTAATTAAAAGCCCAAACCTTCCTGGTCATAAAGTTTTAGGTGGGTTTACTTTTTACGTAAAATATGAGTGGTCGGTTTTTAGGGAGACAGCCTCTTAAGTAAACATTTAATTGGCAATTACAATTTCTATAGCGTTATATCTATAAGTGCTTTTCACAGTTCATTTGCATTTTTTAACATGTGCCTACACTTTTTCTACTCATGCATGTGTCCCATTTTCATTTGCATTTTCTTGATTTAGTCGGCAAGTCACAGTTGAATTGTCAAGCAACTAAAAACCCAAGGAGCATCGACGTGTAATCCTTAATAACACAATTATACAAGCTAGTTCCGTCATACGAATTTTCTAGTTGAATTAACAGTTGTATTCTGTTACATATACTCTGATACCAATTGGAACATCAAACAAATTTTAATCGACGATGAATTTAAACGTGTGGATCCAGTTAATATTTTTATGCGTAGTGAATATTGTCTTCACCTGCTGTGGAATAGTGTTAAACACATTGATGGTAGACAGTTTTTTGAAGTCGTCGCGACATCGAAAGAAATTATGTCAATTCATGTTTATAGTGTTGTCGTGTTCCGATATCCTAGCGCTGATAACGAATCATCCTGCATTTATGCTTTATCTGGTTTCCTGGTGGACTGATGATTATAATTTATTGAACAAAAAGGGGTTTATACGCATTGTACTTTCATAGTCGTTGGATTTTCAATTTATTCCTTGCTGGTGAGGAATACTGAACGGTATCTGGCAGTTTATTATCCCATGTTTCATTGGAATTCAGTGACCAGACGCAACCTGCTAACACTCCTCGCAATATTATTCCTTCTGCATGCTACGGTAGTTATAATAACTGCAAACGACTTGATAATTTCTCAAACAGCACATTTCATTTTTTTCATGGCCATTGCATTTCCACCATTCATGTTTGTCAATTACAAATTATTAAAAATTTCAAGAAAACTCCGTTGGAACAACAGAATATCACCAGAGAAAAAGCGACAAAAAATTGGAAAAACAACTCTACTTGTCTGCTTATAGTTGTCTGTCTTGTAACACTGTCCATTCCATCTGCTGTGTTCCTCGCATTTAGCTTTGTTGAGAAATGAACAACCAAAAATCCAAGGTTATGTTACGTTTCGAAATACTTAACTGTTTTGATATTTTTGATCCACAACATTCTGCGCAGGGATGGTAATTTAAAGATACTAAATACATTGAAAGATCGTTTTTCGGATCCTCTGCATTACAATGAACCTTGACTAACGAACCATACAACGGACAGCAATTCCATAAACGTTTGTTTTGCCTTCGATCCAAATTATCACTGGAACTCGGCGCTCTGAAGTACGGCTCTCGCAAACAACAGACTGCTGCCATCATTTAGATCAAACAGACATTTTTTATATATATATATAAATATATATATATATATATATATATATATATATATATATATATATATATATATATATATATATATATATATATATATATAGGGCCAGCCCAGAGCATTTAATTGAATGGAATAAATTTAACCAAGACAGTAAATTTTTTTATTACTATGCAGTTTCGTACGTATACATACACTCTCCAGATCTAAAATGTCTAAATACGCTAAGAACATAATTATTTACATAATGATGCTTACAGTTATGCATCAATTCATTTGCTTCTTCTCATGTTGTTCTGTTGTCTAAAGCAATTATATATTCTAGTGTTAAAAACTGTTCGTGCGTTTAAAAACAAATGTAGTCATTATTATCTTGCCACAGAATATATAACGTTATAAAGTTTCTAAGTACTAATTTGCTAGAATGGCGGCATGCGCTCACAAGTTCATTTCGCTTATTTAGATTCGACAGTTGAGGCTTGTAAATTAGGCACAATTTCTTCCATATAGGCATGAATTACATCTATCGCTTGTTGAGTTTAATATATATATTAAGCTCTTGCTGTCAGGCCTATACGTTGGTTTGCTCCGATCACCCCGTTGTCCGTTTTAACTGTGGCTTGGTATTATTACTGCACGCATCATTCATTTAACTAAACATCGAACATTTAGCGGGCAATTTTTGGGTTTGTACAGTTGCATTCCTTATAATTTCCCTTCGCCGTTGTATTCTCTCCTCTGAAGACTTTACAAAAAAAGTGTTGTATACTATAGGCACAATATTGCTCTTTCACAAAATTAAGGAAGTCTCCTACTAATTCTCAGCTTTTGTTCCTAATTTGGACACGTGCTGAAAATTGATTGCGTTACAATTGCAGAAAATAATTTGACTTCGAAACAACGGTCGGTGCTTATAAGTAGAGACGATGACAGACAGCTGTTATGTGAATGACATTTATCACTGGAAAATATTATATTATGGAAACTTCGATCCTTTGAAAGAAGGCCCTCCGTTCCTGAAGCCCCATCTTTCTCAACGAACGGCTTCGCTTGAAATGTGGGAGATATGCTTATATTTTTCAAGTAGCTCTATATCCTTCACACCAAAACATCTCGTAGATTTCTTTACTAAATCTTATTGTCAAGGTCTTGGAACTGATTATCATATTTTTTTTCTATTATTTTCATCCCTCTTAAGCTATGAAATGTGACTCACGTGAAGGTTGCATCATTGAAAATGCTTTGGAAACCGCAAACGACCTCAAGAGAAAACTGCAATATAATTAAAAATATGATCTCTAGCCGTTCATTTCCATATAAATGCTGCATTCCAGTTGATAATGAGCTTTCCTCGTGCTGTACATGCACGTATGTATGTACAGAAAAATCAAACCATTATCAAATAGCTGAACGAATGAAAGCATATAGAATATAAGTTTGTGTCGGATTTCATGTGCAGTTGTTGGTGTGATAAGCACTAATACTTTCACTATAGGGCGGCTTATTTTGTAGTGAGCAATTTTATGTCATGGTAAGCTGCATTTTGAAAATATCATTAAATACAAATAGGAATTTGCACTTCTCGTTCGACATTTTGATTGGATATACTAAATATAAAACATTACTTTGGATGGAGAGCGACGACAGTACGGTTTCGCATTAGATTAGGACTTAATTTTTCTATTGTAAATATCTCGGCGAGTATCCCCCCCCCCTTTTAAATAAAAGCCACGATTGAAATCCTCACAAAATATCCTTTCCAACGGGGGGTCAAGGGGCGTCAAAACATTACACAAACCGAAACAATCATATATTTATTCACCGCTTGGCCAAAGATTCTAAATTTCATATCCAGAAAATCTTGAATATCTCTTGAACTCTTCGGATTTCCCGCAAGTCAATTCGACTGAAATACTCCTTGTATTCAAGCGCTTTCGTGCACAACATTTCGTTTGAATACGGCGAGTTGAAATATTTATTTTGAATTTTTCAAAATGTCGGGTTTTACTCGCATGCGCGTACATTGCGCAATATTGGCCAATAATTAAGAAGCTCCTGTGGCCGGGATGACGTCAAACTCGCGCGTGTAGGTGCAAATTGACCTTCCGACTACAAACGTCGCATTGTTTTGACGTTTTTTAGTCGTATTTCCGGTTGAGATTAGCTCACTTCGAGCTCAGAGTAAGAAATGGAAATACCGTGATAAAAGATCCAGATTTGAAGATACAAGTTTCGAAATAACACTCTAAATAGTGTTTAAAACATGTAATCTGTGATGACACACGCATGCCTTTTTTACTCGTTCCCCATGTTGGAATTTTTGAGCTGGCGAAGGAATTTACAAAAACATTATAAATTAAACTTAATAAACTGGGGAGAAAATGCGCGAAAATCTAACAAAAAATAACGCATCGTTATAATGAGAAGAAATTACTGTTGTTTTGCTGCCACTTATGCAAACCAGATTTGAAATCCGAGGATTCCGTTAAGTTTTTTTTGTTTTTATTTGTTGAAATTATCATTAGATAGATAGATAGATAGATAGATAGATAGATAGATAAACTTTATTTAAACACGCTGACCCCGTCAACCGAAGCTGATTTCCACGAGGGGCGTGCGAAAAGTATACAGAAAAGAATTTTAAAACTATTTACAAAATTATATAAGATATATAGTATTATATGAACTAACAAACTAAGGTAGTAATCTATATACAGGTAATATTAACATCTATGTTAATTAGCTATCAATCAATGTGATTAGTGATTTTCTTTCGAAAGGAAGAAACGGATTTGCTCTCTCTTATTTCTTTAGGAATAGAATTCCAAAGGTGTGCTCCGTCATACACGAAACTTTTATTCATATTATTAGTACGTGGTTGTGGTAAACAAAGACTACTTGAAATGTTCCGAAGTTTGTAGTTTGTCACCTCACCCTTATATGTGAAGAGATTACTGAGTGATTTGGGTCCCATTTTATTCAATAATTTTGTACATGATTTTTGCTTTACTTTTCTTCCTTTCTGTTTTAAGTGGTTTCCAACCCAATGCTTGCAATGCAACAGAGTGATCTATGTCATTGCTCATATTCAAAATAATCCGAGCAGCTCTGTTTTGTAGTTTTTGGAGTCTTTTTGATTGCGTTTCTCCAAACACATCCCATACTTCACAGCAGTAATCAAAATATGGGCGAACAATAGCATTATATACAGAAAGAAGTGTTTGCTTATCAGCAAATTGTTTTAAACGCCTAAGAGCCGATATTCCAGATGTAATTTTCTTGCAAATATTCTCAGTGTTAGTTTTCCAAGATAAATGCTGGTCAATTGTCACTCCAAGAGTTTTGGATTCATAAACTTGTTTAATTGACTCGTTTTCAATTTTCACATTTGAAATATTTTTTATCATTTGTTTTGAACCAATTAACATAAACTCAGTTTTAGCAACATTTAGACTAAGTTTATTTGCAATTAGCCATTTCCTAAGTTTTTCCAAATCAGAATTCACTGCAGTTTCAAGATCAGTAATAGAGTCTCCAGAAACTGTCAGGTTCGTATCGTCAGCAAACAACCGAGGTTTTGTTTTATCCAGGCATTGAGGCAAATCGTTAATATATAACAGAAAAAATAGGGGCCCTAAAATAGAGCTTTGTGGTACACCACATTTGATCAATTTCTCTGATGAAACAGATCCTTGTATTTGGCATTTTTGGTTTCTATTTGAGAGATATGATTCTAGAAAAGACAGAGCTTGTCCTTTATTCCATAAAGCTCTAATTTTTTCAATAATATTTGATGGTCGACAGTATCAAATGCTTTTTTTAAGTCAATTAAGACTACCAGGTTAAACATTTTGCGGTCTAAATTCATATACCAATCATTTGTACAGTCAAGTAATGCTGTAGCTGTAGAGTGAAATTTACGAAAACCGAATTGACAGTCACTCAGAAGTTCAAATTTGGTTAAATAATTGTATAGCTGATCGTACAGAATTCGTTCCATAATTTTGCTAATGACAGGCAGAACTGAAATTGGTCTGTAATTTCCTGGCAGGTTTCGTTGGCCATTTTTATAGAGAGGTATTACTCTAGCCGTTTTCCATTCGTGAGGGAAAAGGGATAGGATAATAGCTTGATTGAAAATATATGTGAGTGATTCTGAAATAGCAGGTGCAGCTATTTTAATAATTTTACTGGAGATCTTATATATCAACGCCGGTGGCTTTGTTGCTAGAAAGACCATGTAAAAGATGGTAGACATTGCTGACAGTGACTGGCTGGAATGCACTGAATTCTGATTTAGCCTTTTCAATATATGTTTGAAAGTTCAAATTTGGAGTATCAATTTTGCTAGCTAGATCAGGGCCAATATTTGAAAAATAATTATTAATTTTAACTCATTTACTACTGTTGGTTTGCTTTGCCTACCTAGTATATCGTTTATAGTTTTCCAAGCCTCTTTAGGGTTGCATTTTTTATCAGAAATTTTAGTGGAGTAATAATTTTTTTTAGCATTTCTTAGCTGAATATTAACTTTGTTTCTCGTTGTTTTGTAATTTAACCAGTCTATCTCTAGGTTTGTAATAATGGCCTTTCTTTTTAATCTGTCCCTTGCGATTATAAGTTGCTTTATAGCACTTGTAATCCAAGGAACTTTTTTTGTTCTAATCTTTTTATGTTGATGTGGTGCATGGTTATCCAAGACCTCTACGAATAATTTCTTCCAAATTTCCCACATAGCGTTAGGATCTTCAGCGAGAAAGTATACATTTTCCCAGGGTTGTTGGCTCAGATCCTCAACAAATTTTTGATGATCAAATGTTTTCATATTTCTTATCTCAACTTTCTTCTCTTGTTTTTTAACAACAGAAATTTTCCTTATTGCAAATACCAAACTATGGTCACTTAATCCAGTATGGATAACACCAGAGTCAGAAATGTTCTCTGGTGTATTGGTGACTATATGATCAATAAGACTAGAGGTTGTCATAGTTACTCGGGTAGCTTCATCAATCAATTGTGACAATTGATACAACTCATACAATGTTTTGATTTTCTTTGTTGGGAATTTGAATCTTTGTCTGTTTTAAGCATATCACAGTTTAGATCACCCAGAATATACATTTCTTTATTTTCAACATCAATGGCTTTAATTAATATTTCAAAATGATCAAAGAATTCAGATGATGCATTGGGTGGTCTATAAATGGTTGTAACAAGAAATGGTCGACGGTGTGGCTTAATAATTTCTACACAGACAGCCTCCAATTCAGAGGGATTTAGATCTTGTCTTATAATATAGTTGATGGAGCTACGGAAGTAGATACAAACTCCACCTCCATTTCTTGATCTGTCTTTTCTAATAGTATCATAATCATTAAGGTGAATCATACCATTAGGCCTATACATATTTCTGCTGTTTCATCGAAGATATGTCAAGCAGTTTTTAGTTAAGGTACGTTTATTTAAAAATTTAAGATATTTTCTTAACTTTTTTTGTTCAGCTTTTGTAGCTTTATTTTATTTTTTTGGTGTATTCCTGTAGCTTTTTGAAGTTGTTACGTATATACGTATCCAATCATATTGAAATGTTTATGTATTTTATTTATTAAGCTTTGCTAACTAGAACAGGGTTGCCACAACAACATAATGCAAATTTTTGTGGGCTCTTTTACCTAACCCACCCTGTCAACTTTCCCTGTGGAAGCTGGAAAAGTTGAAATGGTGGGTTAGAACGTTGACTTTTACTTTTCCGTTTAGAGCGTTGACTTTTTGACCGACAGGGTGGGTCAGTCATGAGGACCGGGTTCTTCTAGTCGCATTGAGAAACCACCAAACACAGAATGAAGATCCATACAGAAAGGCCACTTACGTTGGAAGCTTTGAAGTTTTTGTCCTCGCCATGTCACATTACTCATGTCGGCCGCCATTTTCCTAGCCAGTCAATGACATTTTCTAGACAACAAACATGCTGTACTGGCTGGCTGCTTCGCCTTCTGGCTAGTAAACTGCTTATTTTTGAATAAAAAACGAATTGCTAATATCTTATAAGATTACAAAATGATAGTTCTTTCTTCGTCGGGTCTCGTTTTTCTTTGATGTAAACGAAGGTTTTTTATTTTTTTGAAACAAAAATATTTAGTTGTCGATAGACTGTAAATTGTCTAAATAATCGTCGAAAACTATGGTTTCAAAACACAGAAAAATATGAAAAGTAATTGTGTAAGTTTAAAAAGATTACTGAACTTCATTTATATTATATTATAAAAAAGTTGAAATATTTATAGAACATACCTATTGAGTTTGAGTTTGTCTTGATCTTTCGGGTTTTGTTTTGGCTTGCACAACAACGTTGAAAATTTATTTTTAAACGATGATTTCTGTATATATTCTGTTCAGAACTGTTGCTTTTCGTAAAAAGCCCACTAGAATGGGTTTTTAGACACTTTTTTAACTTTTTTTTTCCATTTTAAGTCTCGATATAAAATTTTTTGCAAACTTTGCATTTGAAAAAACAATTTGCACTCTCTGCAACCGCGCGAAATTCCCACTGAAATTCCCAGCCTAGTCCCTAGGCCTCTTAGTTCGCCTATTGCGCGTTTCTGCATATTAATGAGGTGACGGCTCCTGAGAGGCCTAGAATAAAATGTTTCAAGTGAGCCAAAAGTGGGGACAAAGTGTCCCCACTTGCTGTATTGAGATCAGTGGCTTGCGAAAATGGCGCCGTTCTCATGAGCGAGTAAAATGTTTTAGATTTGTATCAAATTGAGACAAGTTGGATTAAAATGTTGTGGTTTTAATATATATTGAATAGAAGCAGTGGTACATAAATTAATATACTGAAAAGACAATATAGTAAAGTGGAATTGATGCTAACAAAAAAACAAGAAATCGGTGAGAAATATTTTTAATATAGAAGGTGAGAATTTATTTATCGATATCCTGGGATAACTCTGCTGTAATGTAGAATATTAACTAAATACATGGTAAATATAGTAATGATTTTTATCAATGCACTATTGAAATGCATGTATTCACCTGTGTTAACTAGAACGTTTGAATATTTGCGAGCTTTGAGCAATGTGTTGTTAAGAATTTATAGATCAAAATATAGATCTGTTATGTACTTGCCAACAATTTTTTGTTTGATGTTTAGGAAATTTAAATGGTGCCATACAGGCATATACAGGGACAGTTGTCAAGAAAATATATAATTAAACAAGGTCATATTTGAAGAATTTGGTGAAAGTGGTATTTGTGAATGACAAAGTTCAGGCAAAAGACATATTGGACAACATGGATGTACATAATTTTGCTGTTCATTTATTTCATCAAGTCAGGAACTGGCCGAACTGCAGTCTGCATAGTGTCATGTTTGTAATATTTTCAAACAAGATTCACCTGATCACCACCCAACAATGGCTTGTTGTTGGACTTCCGGGAACACCGGTATTCTAGTTTATATTCAAATGTTACTTGTTCGAACTAGTTTGTGTTAGAACATTCACAAGGTACAGCATCTAATTCTTATTAGTATGTAAAAACTGAAACAACAATTTCAACACGAACACTCAGGCAGGCACATGTGAACAGGAATAGAATAAAATTTGGAGGTTAATATTGTTAATTTAATACATAATAATAAATGTATTTATTGTAATAAAATTATTATAAAATTTATTATTATTAAAATTATTATTGAATTTTTAATTTATTAAATTGTTGAATATGATATTATTACAGCTCCATTAAGCAGAAATAAGCCCCAAAGCATCATCTTTTATTAGTTACTCTTTCAGAGAAAGCATCTATTACAATTATTATTTTTTTATATGCATGTAAAATATCCAAAAACTTTCTCCATGACAGGTTGCAAATCACTTGAAGGTGAGAAAGGCCAATAAACCAATCCAAGCCCTCTTCAACAGATATCTCTTGTGATACATGTCACTGGAATATTGCTTAATTTTTATATTGCACTCAGTGATGGTTGCTTTTTCCAGAAAAATGACTTTGTACACTTTACCATCAACCTGCATCAAAATCACTATATAATCATAATAATATTAATACTCAATACAAGTACTCTTTATTGCTGTGGATATTATTACTGCAATATTTGCCTTTTATGCTCAAATGAATCCACATCTCTATGAACAAAAGAGGCAAATTGTCCTGGCAGTGCACCATTTAACGCCCGTATTCTAAAAGCTCACTCACACTCAGTGAGTGGAGGTTCAATCTGAGCTTGCCTTGAGTGTCAATGTTATTTTGAACAGCTGGAGGGCTAGTGTCACCTCGCACTCAGTGACTACTTACCTTTCCTATTCCAAAACAGCATTGACACTCACGAGGAGCTCAGATTGAACCTCCACTCATCAAGTGTGAGTGAGCTTTTAGAATACAGGCATAAATCTCTCTATTTAAATGCATATATTGGCCATCTAGCAGGAATCAAACCTGCGTCTCTGCGACATATACAAAAGTAAGTAAGCGGGCAGCTGGTATACAAAGTAAGGGTGCAGCAGGTTGGATTCCTACCAGAGGGCTTGTAGTTGCATTTTTCACAACTGCCCTTGGTCAGGACTCATAAATTTATAAACTTTACACTCAAAATATTTATCTACAAAACCTTTCAACAGTTAGTTCTATCGGGTGAGATGCACTTAGTGAACTCAGTCAACAGATGATGATCAGGGTGCTACTAATAGTCAAAAAAATGTTACAATTTACTTTAAATTTACGTCATTCCTGAAAGAAGTTATTATAATACCTTATTATTTACATTGTACAACCATAATATCTTTAATACTCACGTCTATCTTCAAATATTCTGCATATTCTTCCATGTTTATACAATTTTATAAATTCTGGAATTCCGCCATATTGGAAAATATTTACGGGATTTACCAAGCCCGCGAGCACCTGCTTTGCAGGCTAGAAAACGTTTTGTGCTAGTCCTCTTGCGCGCGTTTCGCTCGGTGACGTCACGGAAATCAAAAGCGTGCACAGAGGACTTGGGACTAGTCTGCTATTTTTAGTACGTTATTTGCGCCTGGGTACGAGACTGCATGCAGCACTGAATGATTGTTACATCGCGTGTATATGCACAAATACAGCAAAATGAAAGCAATTGTTTTCGAAACAAAAATAGGGGTGCACCGAATAGAGCATTTTACTGACTAGGGATGCACCGGATAGAGCATTTTACTAACCGGCCGGATACCAGATAGTTGAAAATTATCCTGCCGCCTTTTCTACGATCACAACTTAAGGATATAAGTGACGTAAACACTGTTTACACAACGAAATTGTTTTTCTTATGCACCTATCAATGTTAACCCCGAGGGGGGGGGGGTCGGGCAAAGGGGGGGGATTTGATCAATCAGGTGGTCCCATGGGTCGGGATTTGGACTGACACTTTTTTTCTAAGTGGCCCGAGGGTGGGGATTTGTGACAGATTAACACTGATCTCAGACGATATACTGAAGAAACCTGAGCCAATTTTAGAACAAACTTTGACTCGTCCCCAGTCGCCCGCGTTGTAGCTGTCAACGCCTAACCCACGAACGGGCATATTCTCCCGCACTAAAATGTAACGAGGGACTGTGGAAGAGTCAGGAACAAACTGAAGACTGGGCACAAGTTTATCGCTCGCTGTCGCGCGCGTTGTTTTTACAAGAAATATGGAGATTTCTGGGCAAGAAATAAACACTAGCTTATAAGACATTTTATAATTATATTAATATCGATTTATACTTATATGTTAAAAGTTCACATTATGTACTATATAAAACACGAGTAAGAGTGTGTTTTATCAGATATCAAACGCGAGGCGCACAACTTAAAATACGACTACAAAAGAATACTAATTAGGCCGAACAATTATATAAGAATACTGACAATATAATTATATTAGAATACTGTGTTTTATTAGCCTGTGTTCCAGTCTATTACACCGTGGTGTAGCGGACTGGCCACGGAACACAGGCTAGTGTTTCATCAGATATTATAAACTCACTTTACGTGACATAATATGGCTAACATGATTTGCCGCAAGGTATATGAATTATTAATGAGTATTTTAAGTTATTTTGAAACGTTTTTTATATTTGTTATACTTTTAGATTATACCGCCAAATGTATTTGTGTAATTTCCCTATCATCTGCCATATAGAGTGCACCAGAAACCAAATACTTTAGGAATACAATTTCATCCCGGGGTGGGGAATTTTGCCCAGGAATGTTCTCCCGAGGGAGTGGCATTTGACACTTTTTTTGTAAAAATGTCAAATCCCCACCGCTTGACCGACCCCCCCCCCCTCCCTCGGGGTTAACATTGACAGGTGCATTTAAAATAAAACATTGTTCATGAATCATGATGACATGTTTGCATGATAACATTCGGTGCTCAGCTAATATTTCGATGTAATATATTCGATCACAATAAATTTACATACACACTTTGCATACAAGTTATAAATATTAGAAGTCAGATTCAGTCTCACTTTGCAGGTATTAAAGCATAAGCGCAGGTCTATTTTTCTGGACGTTCGTATATGTTTTTTATTGATCCAACTTCGTTTGCTGTCTTCCCGACCACAATGTTGATTCAACAGTTCCGCTTGAAACTTAACGTCTTAGCGCCAAAAAATTTCACTAAGTTTCGTACTAGAAGCCATGCACGAACAATGCACAGTGAGAAGTTTCCAAACTGTTCCCGATTTAACCATTTCCATAATATTGCGCAACAAAAACATGGCCACCGTGTCGAACCGTGTCTCACGTGACAAAATCTCGGCCTGTGATTGGCTTGACACGCTCCACCGTGTTAAGAAGTTACTATATTTAGTAACAGCAGAACCGCGGACCGTGTCTCAAAATTGCAGTCGCATTTGACGAACATTTTCCGAACTTAAAATGATCAAATTCGAGTAGTTCTCGCTTATCGTCGTGGCAAACATTTAATTAATCTCGTACCCAGAGAAATGCCTGTGCGCGGGCTAGGATGGCATAGGCTCTTAGAGAAATTAAATTTTAACTGTGCTGTGATTGGTTTAACGTTGATTAATTAATTAATTAATTTCCCCAGAGCCAATCCCATCCTAGCCCGCGCACAGGCATTCCTCTGGGTACGAGATTGACATTTAATATCCAGCAAGTGCGGGGTTTTCCCAGGGGGTTTTCCCAATGTTTTAAACCTAGCCCGCGTGCAGGCCCAAGGGAGCTGATAGTGGGCCTGCAAGCAAGGCCCGGTATTTTGTAAAACGCCCCTTTTCATAACACGCCCCATTCGCGCGTCAATTGTCAAAAAAGAACCAATGACAACACCCAAATATTAACAAACAAACTCGCATTAAAATGTTGCGGGGTTTTCTCTGCTTATTCAGAACATAAACAATGTGTAAATGGCTGCGTTTTAACTCCAACAAGAAAAATATTTCTTTAAAAAAGAAATAACGTTTCGCTCCAATATAATTATAGAAATACCAGACGTCTATAATTAGCGGTTGTGACCATAGATCACTTGTATATGTCGAGCAATGAAATTGGTTCATTTTGTGAGGCGGGCGGGTTCTATAAATTTTCATTACCTGAAGGGGCCGAGCGGTCCAGAAATACAGTAGTAGTATTTAAAATGAAGAAAAACAAAGAAAACTATATAATAAATATATATATATACCGCTGTTAGCGCTTGAATACTTCAAATATAAATCATCGTGCCTGTAGATTTTGACCTGAAGTTCGGCCCTAAGATTTTGATTGGTTGCAAGTTCACATAAACAACAGTTTTAAAAATAGCTCGGTCAAGGGCTCAAGGGGACAATAATAATATAAAGGTCAAACGCACGTAACAAATCCATTATCGATTTCTTCGAATTTCTTTTCTTTTATGCTTTATAGCAGAAAATAAATCAAACAAATAGTATTTTGAAGGTCTTTATCAAAATCTTTGACGAATTTTGGACACATGCACGACGCTGAAAGAACAGCCAAACTAAACTAGTCATCTATTCGAAACTTTGTTATTGACAGCCAAGATGTTCTGCCAACTGGCTTGGCCGGCAAAAGTCTTATTTTTAATATCAGGTCCTACCGGCGTTGTTTTCTGAGCTGCATCGCCTTCTTCATGGTACGATTGAGAATTTTATTGTTGCTGTTGTTAGCCCGTTAAAGTATATCCCTGCATGGTATATATCCGCGTCCAGCAAGTTGAGACCTTGAGAAAGCTTGGCAGTCAAGCTGTACACAGAACTGACTAATTGAATCTTCGTTTGCTGTTCGGTTAAATAGAGAAACTGACTCTTAATTATATAAAAGTACCTTGAATTTCTAAGTTTAATTAAAAAGCAAAATGCACACACTGCGGACATGTTCATGAGAATATAATTTTTTTGTGTAACGAAATCTATATCACTTGTCAATCATATTGCATGCTGTGTCTAAAAATAACATGTGAGCGTCCCACGGTCTAGACAGGTTTTGTGTCAGGCCCTATTTAAAATTAGGGCCTGAACTTGAGGTTAAGTTAGCATGTTCTCATAGGTTGATATATAATTAACTAAGATTTCCGATTATACGCCACGCCTCCAAAAAACTTCTTATGCTAGGAGCGGTCATCTCATTGGACGATTCTAAATGTAATTGACATTTGAGCAAGAATACTGGCAAAGGATTGGATAACTTTGATCTCTGACGTCACTTTCCTGTGATAATTGCTCGAAACACAATACAGTACCGTTTCGTTCCTGCGGGGAACGAAACAAAAAAGCAAGCAACGCAGTCAGTAATTGCCAAATTTGCAAGTGCTCAACAGGCAAATTAGCACGAATTTCAACAGAAAACCAGTCTCAAACTTCAAATTGTGAGGGAAGTCGTGCGACCACATTTAATAACATTTATAATGTGTGCTTCGCTGTCGCCATTGTTATAAATAAATTGTCTCACTTATCAAATCGTGTGTGCAATTCTTGTTGGCGGCGGAAAGTACGAAATTTATTTCAGTTATTTCATTTGGTAGAAAACTCTACAAAAGAAGAGAGCGTTCAGAGTCCAGATCGTTTTGTTTCAAACGTCAATTTAATACCGTCTTCTGTTTCGCTCTCTCAGCGAAGCCTTGTAAATCGCAAAGTGTTTCGAATAGGCTTACATGCAACTGCATCTCAACATCAACCAAATTAAAAGATCATTTTCTTGAGGAACATATAAGTATCAAGTCTGTTTGAAATTAATGAAACTCAAGTGTAAAGGTTACTATAGTTTAGCCCAGTCGTAATGTTGCTATTCCAACACCTCACGACAAGCAATTCCCATTGGCATAACGGCAAAAACATCTCTTCCTTCAAGTAAACAATAAAAAGTCTGTTCTTGTTCCATTTGTAATCGAAAAAAGTGATCAATTTTCGAATTTTAAACTTATCGAGAGAATATCGAGAGCCTTTGTGATCAATCACTGACCTAATTATAGAATCCAACAGCAAACAGCCAATCACAATGCCGTATTCGTGGGCGAACGCGGAAAGTACAAAATACCGGGCCTTGCTTGCAGGCCCACTATCAGTTCCCTTTGACCTGCACGCGGGCTATTTTGAACCTTTTACGGCACAGGAATTACATCTTTTGAGATATTTAATTTACGTTTTTATTTCGCGATTTTGTTGGAAAATAACAGTAATACGTAACGCTGGACCAGGAGTATATATCTGTTTGAAGTTGTAATGTTTCGGACGTTTATACGTATAAATAGCGATCGCTTCCGTCCTTATAAACCAATTTAGAGAATATGACGATCTTAAAAATCTGACCGTGTCTCAAGCCACGCTTGCTACCCTCTGGATCCGCCCCTGCAGAATCGAGTAAATCGACTAGAATGATATTAAGGTGGCTCCCTACAGTTATCTAAAATTCTAGGTATTTTGAGTATCGTTCGCTTTGAACCGAATTTATATTAGATACACTTAAGACAAGGCAATTTGATCATTTCCAGGAAAGTTCAGAAGCTGTGTGCTGTCCATTTATGAACAAATTAAAACAGTGTTTGTGTTGCCATGGCAACCATGACGTGTAATCTTTTGCACTTTTATTGCCTAATTTCACAATAAATGGACAATATCTATATTTTCCTTCGGTGAATTTTTCTGAATTTTTTTTTGAAGATTTACGGTCCATAAAGGAAAAACATATCAAAATTTGAAGGGAATTTATAAATAAGTTTTCGAGATATTCGTGAATGACGGTTACAGAAAAAGTTATTTATAGAATTTCTTAAAATTTGGATATGTTGTACCATTCCTCTTGTTTAACAAAAATACAAAGTTAAAAAAAATTTCACCGAAGAAAACACGAGAAAATCATCGCTAAAATCGGCGTGGCCAGCATGAAAAAAAATCGACTCGACATGAGCACGATCTGCGCATGCGTGTAAATTGTAGCGTGTGATTTATAGTGATTTCAACTTTTTGGCTTACAATACATAAGAAAACAGATATTTCTGACTTGTTTGACATGAAAATAAAATATTAATCTTGAAAATACTAACAAAAAACACTATTATAGGCATTGTATTAAATCCAGTGTTAGTTTACATTTGTTTTTGTTGTTAAAGTCGGTGTGAAAACTTTTCAAAACATCGAACTACAAGTTTAACTTTTCATATAAAACAACTCATAACTGTTTTATTTGATTTAGCAGATAAAACGATACCTGTAAATTGAATTGATTGACAGAACTTATATAAGTTTCGGCAACAGTTCACTACTGTTCAAGAGTTAATAGAAGACAGTATCATTTCAGTTTGACAGCTCGCAAAACAACAAGTTGAAAATTTTGAGCAATATGAAAGACAATACTGAACGTAAATACGTAAAAACACACTAAAAGATAGGTTAAACTAGTTAATAACATACGTACTGTTCGAATTCAGAAAAAAATAGGATTATAATGAAAAACTGGGGCTTTCTTTGTAGATAAAAAACGCCAAAAAACTTCCCACGGCTTGTTTCAATATTTTTGCAGAACAGTAAACACGATTCCACGCGCAGGTCGCGAGGATGAAGTCTGATCTATATAAATCGTATTTAAACTGTACTAACTGTAGGGAGCCACCTTAAAGGAAAAATTATCTACAATTTCAGACCTAACTAGAGCAGCTGGAAAAATGCAACTATTTGCCCTCTGGCAGGAATCGAACCTGCGATTTCGGTGAAGTGCTCTAACCAACTGAGCTAAAGAGTCCTGTTGTCAAGCTCAAACTACAAGCTCGTGTATATATATACGGTGTAGTGGGTGATGTACCTCTTGACGTAAGCCCCCCTCCCCCAATGGATACGAATACGTTTTTTTGTAACAGCTAAAAAAAAGCTATAGTGCTTCACTGTTTTTTGCTTTTTCGCCCTTAGAGACCGGTCATTATTTATGGCGGGGGGTGGCACCGAAGAGAAAAGGGTAGGGTAAACAAAATTTTGAGTGAGTAAAAGGTTGGGTAAATGAAAAACAAAACAACTCAAGGGTTGGGTAATCAAAAAATTTATTGTCATTTCATGACGCACTGAAATATTGGAGACTGAAAAGCAATGTCAACAGTGATATGTCAATACAATATGTGAATCAATCAGAGTCACTATCTTGATCATTTCAGTCCACGTGTGACAGGTGAATGGTTTTCAATTTGTAAAGATTTTGGCCAGGGATGAGTATTTATTTTTTAATTGATATTTGAGGTTGTGTAATCAAATTTTTGATCAAATGGTTGGGTCAGCAAAATTTTTGCCACAAAAAACATTTCTCTTTGCTACCACCCCCCACCGTAAATAATGACCGGTCCCTTAGTCTAGCTGATACTGACTAGAGTTTAACCGTATTTTCTATATTTGACCACAGTGTTTGACAAGTCCGTGCCCAAGCCCTGCCTTCCTACCATGGTGCCCCATTTCATTGGTCGACAAGAAAAAGTTGAAGATATCTCGCGTGCGTTGACGTCCATACCTGCTCAGCTAGTTTCTGTATCTGGACTCCCTGGTTTTGGCAAAACCTCATTGGCTATTGCAGTAGGACACCAACTTAGACAGCTAGGACTACCAGTTTATTTCCTTTCCTTGAGAAGCGTCAAGACAGCGGACGAGCTGATCTCTGAACTGTTAAACACCTTTGCACATGCGTCTTCTGATTTAGCGGGGCGAGAACGTTCAAAACTATGCGGACTCCTCAGTGGAATTCCTTCCAATATTTCTATCATCCTCGATAACGCCGATGACCTTTTTGCGAGTAGTGGTGGAACGCGCCAAGATGTTTTAGACCTTCTGGAAAAGATCTTTTCTCATTGCAAGAATGTGTCCTTTCTACTGACCACAAGGATAAGTCTTCAATCGGTGCTGGCAAGGAAATTTGCTGGTCACACGTCTGTTGGAGTTATATCGCTAGACAGGAAATCATCACAAATGCTTGTTCAAAAACTTGTCCCTGCTGCTGATGAAAGTGAATGCTGCAGGCTGGCTGAGGTTTGTGGAGACGTTCCTCTGGCCATCAAACTTTTGTGCAGTCAAATCGTTGACGAGAAGAAGAGTATATCTCAATTCCTCGACCACTTTAGCCGTTTATCAAAAAAGCTAGCCGACTTGTTAGACGATCCAGACGCGCCTGATAATCAACGTTTAAATGTTTTGCTTGAGTCTTATTTCAAAAGACTATCTCAAGAAGAGCAAGAATCATTTGTTTGTCTTTCAGTTTTTGTCAGTGAAGTGTTCGACGAGCAAGCTGCAGTAAACGTCATTGGAGGAGATGAAGACACAGCAAAGAAAACTTTGTTGAGGCTCAAGAGAAAATCGTTGGTTGAGGCAAATTCCTCCGAAGCAGGACTGTTTTCTTTTCACCCTTTGATCAAGTCATTTGGTTCCGAAAAAGCGGCTAATGACATGAAAGAAATTGCTCGCGAAGCACAAAGGCGATTCCTGAGTTATTACGTCAAGTTGTTTGAAGATTTAAACAACCAGTTTCTGGCTGGAAATTCTCTGCTTGCATTTCACGATTTCGAATTTAACAAAAAAAATATGGTGCATACTCTCTCAGAAGGTCTTCAAAATGAGGCTGTCTGCCACGCAATTTTCGATGTTCTTTCCGATGCGGATTTATTTCTGGACACTATTTTCTACTTTCAAGATGACCGGATTTTTCAAGAAATTTATGAATTAGCAATAGCGAAGGCAAAAGAGCAGCGTAAATTTAAAGCTGTCCACCAACTGCTAATTGCTAAAGCTTTTGCTCAGATAAACTGGTATAATGGAGCTGCATTGCCATTACTAAAAGAAGCTGAAGAAATAGAGAAGAAAAATCTTCTCCTTCCTTCAGAAGTTCCCATGGGAAAACGAATGTGTTACCATGGTATTCAGTTGCTAATGAATAAAGCGATAGCGAAAGGAGGCAAAATGATTGAAACAGGGATATCTCTGTTCAGTTCTGAAAATAGTGTACTTAAAATTTTATGCACCCAGATTCTTGCTTTTATTACTCCTCACGAACAAAAGTCTTCCTACTACAGGAACATTGTTTTAACTGAATGCGCTAACAGACCATCCTTGTATGCTTTCTTCAAAGCTATACAAGAAGATGATTGCGCTGACGAGAATGAGGATGGAAACCCAAAAGCTGTAAGTCAACCGCTCATTTTGCCGCTTGCTCTTCTCTTCAACGACATTGCGGAATGCTATGACATGAAGGAGGTAATGTTTAAACTTGGTTTGCCCGTCTCCAAGTTACAGAAAGAAATCGAAGCGGAAGCTCAGAATGACCGTCTATACTTGCCATTACTCTTCGTCGTTGAAACCACCCTGGCAAATGTAAAAATAGAGCAAGAGAGTCCAGCAGCGATGCAGCTCGCTCTTGATAATTTTATAGGAGAATATGGTCGGCTAAACCCGGATACAGCCGCAAGGTACTATAACATTGGATTAATTTTATACGAACAGAAGAAGTATGACGCTGCTTTGACATGTTATTACGAAGCACTAGACATCAGACTAAAGCTTTATGGGCACAACCATGCAGATACCGCCGACAGCTTTTACCAGATTGGAAGAACCCAACTTGCGAAAAAAGATTACAAGTCAGCACTGCAATCGTTCGAGCAAGCACTTGATATCAGACAAAAAGTTCATGGGAAAGTCCACTCAGACGTTTCCTCTACTTGTAATCAGATTGGAATGACAAAGTATCGCTTGAACGAATACGATTCAGCTCTGCATTGGCACCAGCAAGCCCTAGGTATTAAGATAGCGCTCTATGGAAAGGAACACGCATCCTCCGCTAACAGCTACTCCTGGATTGCAAATTGTCTGTACCAAATGCAAGATTATGATTCTGCTTCGGAGTCACATCAACAGGCACTTGATATCAGACTAAAGCTTTATGGGCACAACCATGTAGATACTGCGAAAAGCTATTACGAGATTGGAAGAGCTCAACTTGAGAAAGAAGATTACAAGTCAGCACTGCAATCGTTCGAGCAAGCACTTGATATCAGACAAAATCTTTATGGGAAAGTCCGCCCAGACGTTTCCTTCGCTTGTCATCAGATTGGAGTGACAAAGTATCGCTTGAAAGAGTACGATTCAGCTCTGCATTGGCACCAGCAAGACCTGGATATTAGCGTGGCGCTGTATGGAAAGGAACACCCAGACTCCGCTACAAGTTACTACTGCATTGCAGAATGTCAGTGCGAAATGCAAGATTATGATTCTGCTCTGGAGTCATGTCAACAGGCACTTGATGTCAGGTTAAAACTTTTTGGACAGAAGAGCCAAGCTACAAGCGGCAGTTATGACCAACTGGAATTTATACAAAGTCTAAAGAAAGTTTGCCAATCATCTCTCGAGGTACAGAGCAAAAATTCTTGAAACAAGAACAAAATAACAAGTTGTAATAGCGATATATCTATACTAACACTGATGGTTCGAGTAAATACAAGTTATAAAGGAACACGATTAAGTGACTTATAATAACCAATTAACATCAGAATTTCTGTTAGAGAACATGCATGATGTAATTTGCCCACTTATTTCAGCCAGTGCAAATCAGTCATGTTTTACCCTGTCTTTCAACAGATGTTTTGTAATAATATTGGAGAATTAAATAAATTGAATTTTTTGACATAGTTATAATAGATGATTCCCCTTATTACGTTTTCATAGCGCTTTGCATTGTGGTTATAGTGGTATTACTGATGTTCAAGATGGCTTATTTTTTGTTCTGACCCATGCAAGAACTTTTAAAATATTCGTGAAAACATTCAATATTTTCATTCGAGGCCGCTGTCTTTATCCGTGATACCACTATAACCACAATGCAAAGCGCTACGAAAACGTAATAAGGGTAATCATCTGTTATCTACGAATTTGCAAACGACCTTATGTGATAGTCGAGTCGGTTTTCTTTGAATGTTCTTCATCAGAATTATATTAAAGGACCGGCCAACTCTCTGAAAGTCACACTCTGGTGGCATTTTTTATTACAAGCTGCCAACTGGCATTTTCTTACAGCTGAACAAGACCATATATGTTGGAACCTGTGATTTTGGCTTGATAGGAATCTCGTAACTAGATCAAATAGCCGAAAATTTGAGTATTTAAAATTTTGGCGAGTAAATTACTATGTCGGACTAAAAATGCAAAATTTTCAAACAGGTTTTGAGTTACAGAATTTAATTTGAAGTTGGCAAAATTGTAGCTATTGGCATAAATATGCGCATATTCCTCATGACGTTTGAGCGTTAAAATCTCAAAATCGGCTACGAAAATCATACTACTCGCTTAAATGTCTTATACAGCATATACGTTTTGAGAGCAATGCATATATACTTTTTCCCAGGGGGAGCAAGCCCCCGGACCTCTATAGATGGCTAGCGCCCTCGGCGCTCAAAATAGTTACATGACCAATTATTTTGTGCTATGTTCGTCACTGGGTACAATCACTTCTTGTGTCTATTGTTACATGATAAGCAATATCATGTTATTTTACATATATTAACGGCTTATTGACCGAGCGTGAGGTCTGTACTGTGAAATATCAGACCGAGGCGAGGTCCATGCAAAAAACAGAGGTCTGATATTTCACAGTACAGACCGAACAAGCGAGGTCAATAATCAGTTTATTATATGGCTGAACTGAGTCTGTGAGCATATGCTTTTCGCGCGAATTAAATCGGCTATCGCCAGTTTCACTGTGTGACAATATACGGTAGGCATGCATGCTCAATCAAAAACTATTTGGTTGTTTGGAATTTTTATCTGTATATTTTAATTACACAAAATTGGAAAATTAAAAAGCAAAATTTTTTTCTGTTTGCAAAGCAAAAATTTCCCACCAGATAAACGACATCCGGGACGCCGGTCCAGATACGGAAAATACGGACCACGGTCCGGATATGGGTTTTTACGGACCGCTTGTCAACCAATCAGAATAGTGAATTTTGAAAATCCATATAATAATAAATATTATTATACTATATACTTATATTCATATTAAATAGCTTACATGCATGTGTCAGCAAATAGTTTTAACAATTAAGATGTCCCACAATTAACGTGGCGGATATGACTCGGTTTGGCGTTGGCCGATTTCTGGTTTACTTAAACTTGCTTCAACATGCTGTATTGCGTATGGGAAATGAGTCGTAGTTTTGTAGTTTCTTACCCTATCAGAGCGTATATATAAAAGCCTGAGCACAACTAGACAATTCATGCATTATTCAAAAGGCGATAGCCTGAATAACATTGCCGTGAAGACATAGAAACTATAAGTTAAAGAAAGAATTAAAAGGATTATACAAAGGCGAAGATATTAAAGTTAAAGAATTGTCAGGAATTGAAGAGTCGTCAGTGAAAGTAATAGTTTGAACAATATTAAGAATTATATATATAAATTTATTTTTATATATATATATATATATATATATATATATATATATATATATATATATATATATATATATATATATATATATATATATATATATATATATATATATATATATATATATATATATATATATATATATATATATATTAGGAAAAGTAATAGAGACACTAATTATTGAGTAATATATTAGACTATAACAGTATAAGTAAGAAAATAAATATATCATTGAAAGTAATTGGTTTCACAATCTTTGTTGCGAGCAAATAGAACCAAAAAGCACGGCCAAATAAAATAGTAAGGACCGGCTCGTAACACTATATCAGCAAAATTTAAGATATAAGGTAGCTGTCCACAATGCACAACATGCCAGTGATAGTAACACTACTGTCAGAACCAGGTTGATGCCAAAAGAGGGCACCACCAACGCGATCTAGATATATACAATCTATACATTTATACGCTATTGCACAAATCTCTGGCACAGCCACGGGGGGAGGGGGGTTCTGGACTTCTCCCCACATTTCTTCAGGAAAAATTTTGTAATTCTTTCTAAACTGAAAATATGACAATAAATATATGACATAAAATATCTGCATGGGATGGGGTTACGAAGACCCTAAACATAGAAATGTTTTCCAGGGAAGAATGCTGCTGGCTGCATGCCCAGACAATTAAACCATACGCCCTTGATTGTACTATTAAGATGGATGTATATATAATTGCATTTCTGAGGTTACACCTACAGTACAGCACAGGTAATATTCTTTTTATTTTGGTTACAATTTTTCCTCTGAATTTCTCTTTTCTCTAAATTTTACAACTATCTTTTTTTCTTTCTTGGAGAAATATTTTTCGGGAACTCAAAAGATTTTTTGTCCCGCGTGGTCCACTCTTGAGACTTACCATCTTAAATATCAATTATTCGATATTGCATTTATACCTGGCTAAAACTGCAAAAGCCATGCAAAGCTACTTATCTGAGCATGGACTTAGCCTTACTAATTTCAAAACTATCATTCATTAATCATGAAAAATTTACTGTGAAATAGAAATTTCTACTAAGTTAATCCAAGAGTGCACCTCAACTTTTTTGGCTTCTAGGAAACATGTGCTGGAAGGTTTCGCAGCAAGGAAAAAGTGTAAAATCACTGGCAAAATTAAAACTCCAATAATTGCTCAATTTGCCCAAATAAAATCACTCCTTATTCGACCTCAAAGCCGGGGGAAAGATCTGCACTTGAGCTGCACATCAGGAGCTTCCTCAAGACGTATTTTTGTCCATACTAATTTTGGTTAGCATGGCAGACAGGCCTAGAAAATATATTTTCCTTCCTGCAGCAAATTCCAATATAAAACTTCCCACATATGTAGATTTCAGAGAATGTATGGTGCCGCACATTGTGATAAACTTCAATCTTGACACAGGCCAATCTCGACTTGCAAAACACGTTTGTACTCCATAAATATAAAGTAAATTACATGGCTGAGGCCTAGAAAATCTAGTGCTCTTCCATCTTGTTGGCAGATAACGTCATCCCATGGTATATAAAAAGCCTTGTTGCGACTTCAGATCTCCCATGATGAAGATAATAGACTGGAGTGTGAATCGTTGGGTCGTGAATGCAATTCGACTGGCCTTTGCATTCATTTATAAAAGCTAGAGTAGCGGGTGAAGAACAAAACTAATATACCTGGTTGCTCTGAACTCAAGAACTTTAAACCATTATTATTATTATAACCAGGCCTAGGAAAATATATTTTTCTTCCTGGCAAGAAATTCCAAAAATAAAACTTCCTGCACAATAATCCCAATTTGCAAAATTCTTTTGTAAACAATACGTGAATTACATGGCATTCCAGTATATAAAATGACTAATACTTCCTGCAAGTTGCAGTTCTTAGTTTTCCCAAATATTCCTGAATAAACTAATTAATAAATTGGACCATGTCAACCAATTAATTAATATTATTATTTATTAAAAAAATATCATTTGCAATTTCTCAATATTTTTCGGTGCAAAGAGAGGCCTCGGTTTGTGTTATCTGCCTCAGCCTTCGGCTTCTGTAGATAACACAAATCTCGGCCATAATAATTCCTCATATCAAACTCTATCTCATTCAAAATTGTTGAATAATTGTATTCAACTACACACGCAAAAATCTCACATCTTGTTGACATGTTGTTGGCCGAAACGAGCTTGTAGCAAGCTTGTCGACAAGTTGTAACAAAGTTTCTTTATTTTATCAACTTGAACTTGTAGCAAGTTTGTTGTCAACAAGCTTGTTACAACTTGTTTGTTTGCAGACCTGTAGGAAGTTGTTGGAACAACGTGTACTAAGCTTTTTGACAAGAACCCATATCATCGTCAAGTCCGTTCCAGCAACCTTGTGGCTGTGTTCACAAATCTATACCAAATCTGCCAACAAGTTGTAATGGCATTGTTAAGGCGAAAGCCTGCATGAATAACGTCGCCGTGAAGATATGAGAAACTATAAGTTAAAGAAGAATTAAAAGGATTATACAAAGGCGAAGATATTAAAGATAAAGAATTGTCAGGAATTGAAGAGTTTTGCACAGTTGTGAAAAGAGATACTAAGTTTGAACAATATTAAGAATTATATATATATATATATATATATATATATATATATATATATATATATATATATATATATATATATATATATATATATATATATATATATATTAGGGAAACTTATAGAGACCCAAATTATTGAGTAATATATAAGACTATAAGTAAGAAAATAAATATATCATTGAAAATAATTGGTTTCACAATCTTTGTTGCGAGCAAATAGAACCAAAAAGCGCGGCAAAATAAAATAGTAAAGACCGGCTCGTAACATTATATCAGAAAGATTTAATATATAGGGTAGCTTTCCACAATGTACAAAATGTCAGTGATACTAACACTACTTTCAGAACCAGGTTGATGCGAAAAGAAGGCACCACTAAGGTAATCTTAGATCTACATAATAGTCTACAGTATACATTTGTACGCTATTGCACAAATCGCTGGCGTGAGAGGGGCAGGGGCGAAACTAGCCCCTTTTAATTAGGGGGTGTCTGCTAGAATTGCCCTGCGAAAGCCGATGATGCCCTGCAGCAAGTTTTTTTTTTTTGGGGGGGCACTATTTCTCCCAAAAAAGTTGGCGAGCGGGGGGGGGGGACATTGAAAAAAAGGGAAAAAAATTTTCCGGACATAAACCAGTTAAATTAAGGGTCAAAAAATTTTTCGGACAAATTCCTGTTAAAACATGTATGAAACCGTTATTTTTTTACCAATATCTGTAAAAATAATTCTATTGGCTAGAATTTGTCCTCTGACTTTCTCCTTCCTTTTTTAAATTTTGCAACTTGGGATTTTCTTTCTTGGGGAAATATATTATTTGGGAACTCAAAATTTTAGGGGACCAATGGTCCCGTGGTCCACTCTTGGGTCTTACCATCTTAAATGTCAATTTTTTATATTGTGTTTATGTCATGCACAGCTACTTATCCGAGCATGGAACTAGCCTTAATACTAATTCTAAAGCTGTTCATCAATCATTGACAGTGAAAAGAAAATCTCCAATGAGTTAATCGAAGGGTCTACCTTAATGTAATTTAACTTTTTTGGCATTTGATTTTGATGTGCTGGAAGGTTTCACTGTAAGCAAAAAGTGCAAAATCACTCGCAAAATTTAAAATCCCATAATTGTTCAATTTACTTGAATAAAGTCACTCAATACACGCAAAAGTTTCCTAGTGAAATACTTTTTTACTAAGAGAGGCTAAAATTTACTTGCATTTGCAACATTGCAAGTATTAAGTCAAGACTTGAGTTAACCATCAGGGGGGGGGGGACGGTATCCGGAACGTACTCATTTCAAGACGTATTCAGGCTTAGAAAATATATTTCCCTTCCTAGCAGCAAATTCCAATATAAACTTCCTGCATATGCAGATTTCAGAGAATGTATGATGCCACACATTGTGATAAACTTCAATCTTGGCACAGGACAATCTCGACTTGCAAAAATGCGTTTGTAAACATAAAGTAAATTACATGGCCAGACCTAGAAAATCTATTGCTCTTCCCATGGGTATAGAAAAAGCCACGTTGCGGTTTCAGACCTCCCCTGATGAAGACACTAGACTGGAGTGTCGAAACGTTGAGTCGTGAATGCAATTCACTGGGTTTTCCATTCATTTATAAAAACCATAGTAGCGAGTGAAAATGTGAGTGATATACCTGTATGCCGTGAACTCACAAACTTTAAACCATTATTTTTATTATAACCGGACCTAGAAAATATATTTTTCTTCCCAGGAACAAATTTCAAAAATAAAACTTCCTGCACAATAACATCGATTTGCAAATGTGCTTTTGTAAAGAATAAGTGAATTATATGGCATTGCAGTATATAGGATGACAAATATTTCCTGCAAGATGCAAGATTTCCTGTGAAGATATTCTGTTAAAAATTTCCTGGCTGCTGACATTTGCCAACACTGATTATAACGTCTTCCAAGTTATGTTTTCATCGGCGTATTATTATATTTCGGCCAGGTTATATTTTCATCCGCATTTGTACATGTGTGTGTCTGTGTGTGTTTGTCTGTCAGCATGATAACTCAAAAACCATCAACCATATTAAATACAAAAATTTGTGGTACTAATCGAAATTGCCCAAGCACAAATTAATTGAATTTTAGTTCAATTTAGATAAAAATTGGATAAAAAAGGTTTGTCTTATTTTGTCGGCCAGAGTGAACTGAATACATAATTAACCCATTGTATAATTTATGCATGACACATAATTTAATTTGCTGGGAAAGGTATGCTGTCTCCAAGTGTCCACTAGTTACAGTTGATTTCTCAAAACTCTGGCTGAAAATTTTCTGAAGTTGGTTCAGCCACGTTCACATGTACGGAGTTTCCCCACGGTGGGCGGCACCAGGTGGCACGCCCAGCATTCCAACCTGGGACTCATGCCAAAGCTGACTTTACCACCTTGCCGAGGGGATAACACCGGGGCTCAATGGGTTAAGTTAAGCTGCATTGCACTTTGATGTGCCCTACTTTATTTGTATTATCATTATTGAAGACTGAAATAAATATATTTTATATGTTAGGGACCGGTCATTTATTAGAGGGGGCTGGTTCAAATGGGGAGGGCGCCAAAATTTATTGTTCCGGAAAAAAAATTATTAATATTGTAACTGATGGTGGGCCATGCCATTTCATGTGCACTCCCTTGGGGGCCACATTATTTTATGCAGTGACAGGAGCAGGGCCATATGAAATTATGTTGAGGAAAATGAAAATCCACCAGCCCCCCCCCCCTCTAATAAATGACCGGTCCCTTAAACAAATTACTGATGGTTAAGAACTTAAGGAATAGGGAACATATTTTTACATACTGTACTTTGTTTATTTTGCTTGCTATACGTGATTCAATGTACATTTCAAGGCTTCTAGATCTAGTTTGCGTCGGCGTTTAACTCTCGGCTCGCTCTTGTTCACAAAACGTTTCAATTGGAAACGGAGCAACATTCTGGGGCCGGCGAGGCTGAGGAAAGATTTGTCGAAGAAGACACACGGCCACAATAGCCATTGCGAATGAAACAAATTACTGATAGTTAAGAACATAAGGAATATAACATATTTTTTACAGTCGATTTCACGAAACTTTGACCACAAATGTTCTGAACTTCGTTGTGAAGTTCGCAAGTTTGTTGCGAAGTTCAAAAATTCATAATGAGATCCACAAACCAGTTTCAAGGCTTCTCGATTCCGTCAGGGTTTAACCGTATCGGCTCCCTCCTGTTTTTAATGAATCGTTGGGAAACGGAGCAACATTCTGGAGACGAAAATAGATAGCTTAAGATCTCTGACAGCTAGGACGTCAGGGTTAAGCAGAGGACTGGGACTAGGATGTCGTCTTAAATAAGTAAATAGATAGCTTAAGATCTACGACGTCGACGTCAGCTAGGACGTCAGGGCTCAATCTCGTTCCCCGAGCCTGCGATCCTCGGGAAGGAACGCGAGGCTCTGGGATAATCCGTTTCATGGAGGAATCTGATTGGCTGTTGAAATGGAATGCGTAGTTCAATCTTAGCCAGAATTCCTGGCTTCCGGCAACGGATTATCCCAGAGCCTCGCGTTCCTTCCCGAGGATCGCAGGCTCGGGGAACGAGATTGGTCAGGGCTATGCAGAGGACTGTGACTAGGATGTCGTCTAATGTAGTCCCAGTCCTCTGCTTAGCCATGACGTCCTAGCTGGCGTCAACGTCGTAGATCTTAAGCTATCTAATAGAGACCTTAAGATTGACGTTTACGGCAAACGTCAAACCGCTAGCGAGGTTTATGATTTTACAACTCTATTACAATAGCTTTTACACCAGTTTTGAAATATGTTAATTAAACTTATTAAATTTGACCACTAGTCATGTCATTCACCAAAGCAGTAAATTAAGATTTGGCGTTTGAAGTTGGCGTTTGGCGTATAAATTTCATGCTTGAACTGCTACGAGGGCTTGTAGTCGTTAAAGCATGAAATTTATACGCCAAACGTCAACTTCAAACGCCATATCTTAATTTACTGCTTTGGTGAATGGCATGATTTGTGTTTAATTTGCTTTCTTAAATCATTGCTAAAGAGCACAAGTTTAATAAGTCTAACATATTTCAAAACTGGTGTAAAAGCTATTATAATAGAGTTGTAAAATCAAAAACTTCGCTAGCGGTTTGACGTTTGCCGTAAACGTCAATCTTAAGGTCTCTATTAGCTCAATATCTACGACGTCAAATACTTAGGACGGCAAGCGGAAGTAAATTGGTAATAGTTTTTGAAGTGTGCATGTATCTCATTCAATTCGCTCGTTGTCCACCAAACGTCGAAAAACTCACAACAAGAGTTTTACCGTCGTGGATACAAGAGCATAACAAACGGTAATGGATTCACACGTCTCTTTTAAATTCATTTTCAAAAGGATGTAAATATTTATAGTTTAAATGTCGACGTCGTGAATCTTAAGTGGAAGTTTATTTATTTAGGACGACGTCCTAGTCCCAGTCCTCTGCTTAGCCATGACATCCTAGCTGACGTCGTAGATCTTAACAGCCATTGCGAATGAAACAAAGTACTGATAGTTAAGAACTTAGGGAATATAACATATTTTTCAACATTCCAAAGGTTTCCAATACATAGTTTATAGGAAATGATGAATTTGCAGTAGTGTACCCATAATTATGAATTAGTGTTTTGATTACACCTCAAACGTTGTACATCTGCCCTTTTTATGGTCTGGTCGCAGGTTAAACTTTGGAAGAAGGCATGTTTCCAATCCACTTATTTACCTGATTGGATTTTTAAATATGCAGTCAATTCAATTATTGTAACTAGTAACACATTTAAAGTCGTTTGTCACAAAACGTTTCAATTGAAAAATATTTGTAAATTGTGAAACGTTTTGAAACCTAATTCTAGAGTCCAAGTAAACTTACAGCGAATTTAAAAATACATCCCCCGTGTGACCTACCATCGCTCGGTCTCCCTGTTTAGATGTGCATGAATCCCCAGAAATTCGTCGTCCTGGTGGGCAAACCCTAAGAATTTTTTTTAAAATTCAGGCTATCCCTCAAAAAACCTCATCCCCAATAGCATGCTGTTCAGAATTTTTCATATTTTAGACAACCCTTCGGATAAAGTTTTATTCGATGTTATAAACGTCAAGAAATTTTAGTAAATGAGGGGTGACCCTTACGAAATTTTAATAATTTACAGGCAACCCTTAAGAATTTTGTTAAAATTCAGGCTACCCCTCAGAAAACCTCATACATAGAGGGGGGGGGGGATATTAAATGGAATGGCCCGAAGAGTGAAGAGCTATAAAAGTTTACACTATTTAATATCAAAGAAAATATATCATTACTCAGCACTATTTCCTCGATCAACCACAGGATGCAAGATTGGCGTTAGAAATACCACCTTTTGATCTCCAGTTGAGTAGGAAGTCCAAGGGGAAAATTGAAATACAAATGCTCGGCCTTTATGGAATTCAACTTAATATGCTTGCTTGGTTCTTTCGTGTCAAAATCAATAATTCTTGCTTCACCGTTTGAAAAAGTGCGTATATTCTCTTTTAGTTTTTGAAAATCCATCATTAGTTCATCATTAGCCATGTTTTAAACCTGAAATTTTAAATTTATTTCAAAATTTCCTCGCATTTTGAAGAAAATATTTGTCACATGTTGGCTACAAAATTTGCCACAAATTCCCTGCATGCGAAAAGCTCTAACATTCCTTAGTTTTCCCCCAAAATTCCTTAAATTAATTAATAAATTAGCAAAGCCCAGGGGTTAAAGGGCAATCAGAGGTGACAGATTTTAAACATGTGCATCTCATTGACATACAGGTAAATTAAGATCAGATTTCATATCAAGTCTGTTTACTGCTTGGCGCATTTACCACATTATATAGACTATATACACAGATTTATCACACTAAGAAACCAAAACTTTATAAAAATATAGAACTATCAGTAGCCAAAGTCCAAAACAAATGTAAGCGTAACATTAGACTTGAAAAAGCTTTAGAAATTCGACAAAAATTCGAAGACTCGAGCGAGTTTAAAATTTGTGTTCTGCGCATAGAAAGCGCGCACGACCACAATTCCATGCGCTAAATAAAATTTAGTTCAAAACCCCCTCTCTGCACATATTAAGTTGCTGCTACGCTCGCTCGCTTCAGGCTCGTTCGCTCCGCAGCAATTATTATTTATTGAAAATAATTCAAGACATTCGATTGGCTAAGAGCTGTCGGTGAAATCGCCATATCCGCTCAGTAGCTGCCCAAATTTGGAGTTGTAACATCACCGTGGAATATTGAAAACAAATATACAACGTTTGACGTAATTTCGTGGTATATTGAAAAACAATGTAACATGACGCCACGTCAATTTAAGCGCCTTATGCCAAAAGAGGGAAAATACAAATGGCTTCCTCAAAGGAAAGATTCGTCGACCTTTTTGTGTATTCCGACAAATAAATAATAAAACAATTATTGAATTCGGTTCTCGTAGAATATGAGGAATTATTATGGGCTCGGTTTGAGTGTCTACCTCAGCCTTCCGCTTCTGAGGTAACACAAACCTCGGCCTTAATAATTCCTCATGTCCTACTCGACCTCATTCAAAAATTGTTTAATAATTGTATTCGACTACACACGTAAAAATCTCGACGGAACAAGCTTGTAGCAAGCTTGATGACAAGTTGTAACAAAGTTTGTTATTTTATCAACTTTGACAACTTGTAGAAAGGTTGTTGTCAACAAGCTTGTTCTACAACTTGTTGGTTTGCAGACCTGCAGCAAGTTGTTTAAAGAAGGTTAATTTACAAGGAAATATGCCAGTTTAGCTTCCGCTAATCTTCCACTGGACCTATTAAAATTAACTGTACAATTAAAGATAGGGTACAGTCCAATCTGCGCATGTGCACATAGAAATTAATATAAATAATTGTCGAATAAATTTCACTGATATTTTGAATACCGACATGTAAACAAATGCTTTGTTTACATACGCACTGTGCCCTACCTTTAAATATATTTTCATGCAGTATAATTTACATTTCTATACATAATTACATAAAGTACATATCGATATTTATAACAAATTAAAATTAATATACATCTTAAGAGTTGTTTTTATACATATCTAAAAACAATTCATGGACGTAAGCTTGAATGCTTGAAATAAACTGGAAAATCTTATATCTGGTGACAACATATTATGAAAATATGCTCCAGTGTATCAGTGCAGTCCACTCCTGGTGATTGCTTAGTTTATGGTTTCGTACCCATAAGTCCATATTGGCAGTGCTTCTGGTATGTCGCTGGGAAACTGTTGACAATGATTTGAACATATTACTTAAATAGTCTGGAGCCAAGTTATTTAAAGATTTATAAACTAGGCAAACTACCCTGCGGTATACATAAGTTATGTAGTTTGCCTAGTTTAAACAGAACTCTGTATCAGTAAAATGATTGATTGTTCAAGACTGGTACAAGTTGTTTGAACAACTTGTACCAAGCTAACAAGCTTGTTGACAACAAGCCATATCATCGTCAAGTTGTAACAAGTCCAGCAAGGCAGCAAACTTGTAGTTCACAAATCTGTACCAAATCTGCCAACTAGTTGTAATGGCATTGTTACTGACGGCAAGAGTTTTCAGAAACTGATTGAATTTGAACAAGACGCAACCTGATTCAAGAAAAACGGACTTTTATTAAACAGCAAATGTAGCTTGAAGTTTGGTTATTTTTGAAGTTGGAAAAGGAAAATATTGAAAAAATGTGGGGGTAAATGTCATAATTTAAAGTATTTGTTATTTAAAGACTTTAAAAAATTGTATCTTAGGAACCGCTCATTATTTATTGTACAGGGGGGATTGAGGAGAGACTGGGGGGGGGGACAGAGAGACGAAAGAAGGGGGGATTTGAAAATATTTACCAGTTTGAATAAAACATTACTAGTTTTAAAAATGTATCACAAAACAACTTAACAACAAATAATGTTTATAGACCTAATATTTATAAATGGAAACCAAGTCTCTTATGTTCATGTAAATAGACAATTCCCATTGTAGACTAATTGTAGAACTAGGCAAAGAGATGCAAATCAAGGCCGAATTTTGGTGAAAATAGTGAGGAGTTGGGAGAAAATGTTAGGGGAGGTGCAGCAGTCTAGCTCACAACCCCATGGAAAATTAGGGCTTATTGTAGAACAGGCCAATATCAACAAGGTTAGGTATGCATGTAGTGTACATATGTACCAGTGTATTAATGAATTATGAATGTATGATTCCAATCTTGCCCTTTATTGCAATTGCTACAAAGTTTCTTTCAAAACATTGCATTAACAGTGTACTTGACACAGATATGAATGGCTATCACTGTTTCAATTTTACAGAGAAAACTTTCTTATGTCACGAAGTGTAGATCCTAAGCAACCATCACGTTTTCACTTTGTTCCATCATTGAAACTTTCCGAAGGGGAGGTGCTTGACCTTTCAGGAGAAGTGCAAAAATTATCAGGGGAGGTGCAAAACGATCTCAGGGGAGGTGCGCACCTCTCCACACCTCCCCTCAAAATCCGGCCTTGATGCAAATAAATCACCATTGCTAGAAAGAGCATAATAAAATAAGTAAATTATTTCAAAGTTTGGTTGCGAGATGTTGTAAAATACGGAAAATATAGCCTTGCAAAGTGTGCAAATTTTGTATACTTTTGTATTGCAAGCGAAAATTGCAATACAAAAGTATACAAAATTTTTGCAACTTTGGAAGGCTATATATTTTCTACATTTTACAACATTTCACAACCAAACATTGCGATTTTATTAATTTTAGTATGCCCTTCCCGGGAATATACTTTTTTAGTCTATAATGAGAGTTGTCTATTGGTCCCCATTATCTATTTGTGTTTCTCTAAATAAAGAGTTTTTGTTTCTCTAAATAAAGATAAAGAGCTAGGGAG